CCTACCTGTTAAGGGTGTTTGACTAAAGAAGTAAATGGCTGTCATTTGGTCTGCAAACTTTCATTAATCTCATCTGGGTTTTATTTCCTTTCCTGTTGTAATTGATTTGGGTGGCTGATAGTCCAGGCTAATGAAGACAATTCCAATGCCAAACATAAGAGACAGACAAGAATAATTGAACCCCTCTCCTTGGAGGAGGAGCTACTGATGGGGGCTGAGACTGGAATTATGCTGCCACCTTGTGGTTGGAAGTAGCATCTGCTTTCCCTAATTCTTTAAATAGTCATGGAATGAATATACATAAAAGAGTAAGAGATTACCAAGCTTTCAGTTCCAAATAATTAACCCCACCCTCTTCTTACCTAGGCCCTATAAGGTTCCATAACCCCAACCACTAACCTTTCAGGACCAAAGAACAAGTTCCTATGGTAATCTAAAATTGTATAGCATCGGAGACAGGGGGAGTACCGCTGCCTCTTTTTCGGCAATCCCATAGGTTTCTATTAAGTTACAGTCTCTGGCCATGATCTTAAATCAGCACAGTGAATAATTAAGTCTATTCTGAAGCAAAAAGATCTCATGGGCAATTATTAACTACATCTGCAATTACATTATCATTCTGCAACTCATTCTAGTGGGACATTCAGGTGTCATAATAAGTGTCAGTTTAGGTAGAATAAAAATAAATGGCCCTCCTTTGTTCTGTGTTGAATAAATCACAAATATATACACATATGGTCTGAGAAATGGATGTTGTTTTACAACTGAGTATTTTTTAAACTTCAGAGACATGGTACATCTTCTCCTGGATCTTATGCTCATTTGGTCTGCAAATGACTCTGTCCTTATCCCTGCCAAGAAGGTGAGCAGAAAAGTCACATCTGTACATCTACACACCTGGGAGGGGACAGTCATCTGCACAGATCGGGGGGGAAGACAGTTGATCTACACATATGGATGGGGAAGGGGTGAGAGACTGTACTAGCCAGTTATAGATAAGCCATCAAAGTTTAAGATGAAGCCAGGTGCCATGTGCACACCTGTAATCCCAGCAGCTCAGGAGGCTGAGGCAGGAGGAATGCAAGTTCAAATTCAGCTTCTGCAACGTAGGCCCTAAGCAACTTAGTAAAACCCTGTCTCAAAATAAAAAATAAAATTGGCTGGGATGTGGCTCAGTGGTTAAAAACCCCTGGGTTCAATCCCCAGTACCCCACCCCGCCAAAAAAAGTAATTAAGGTGAAAGCCAGAGAAGAAATGGGCAGCAGCATTATGGAGCAAATAAATGCAGAAAGGCCAAGAGAAAAGAATGGCAGATCTCTAAGTGGGAATAATCTCACCTAGAGTTCTGTGCAGAGGAAAGGCCAGGTGTGCATAGTCCCCTCCACACACACCCTGCTAGGCCAACGCAGGGCATCTGATAAGTGGCAGCTGCTGTTCCCTGGCTCCTTCGTCCTCCTCTAGAGTGGCACTAGCAGGCCTCTGAAGCAGAAGCCGCCCATACCATTGGAGCACTTGTCCCTCGGGATTCAACTCTCATGATCAGAAACCTAGACCAGAAGGTCTCTTTTCATTGTGAGATTTTTATCCAGGGCAAGAACTTTAGGAAAAAGTTCTTTCTTTCAGCAGATTTGGAGAAAATTCTGATTGAAGGGGAGTAAGCCAGGCATTTGGACACATTTTCTCTGAGTTCCCACCTTTATTGGGGAGCTTGTAATAGTCCCTTTTTGTCCTCTTAATTCCTACAAGGTCCTAATAGTCTGGCACCCCACATATTTCATTGTATTCTATCAGCCTCCCCCTGTTGAGAGAGGAGAGGAAAGAATAGAAACTTACAGCCATGGAGAAATGGGCCAGAGACCCCACGCTAGGCCTGCTGGATGCGCCTCTCTGCCTTTGAGCAATTCACATACCATCTCCTTTCTAAGAACTTAGCACTTTATAAATAAGCATCGATGAATCTGTTGTGTGAAGGAAGGAACAAATATCTGTGCAAGAGACAGATCTTTGTCTGTGCTTCCTAAAATGTTTTATGCTTTGGGATTGTATGCGAAAAGTTATTTCATATGCTTATAGGTCACCATGATTTTAGGGCTTCCTTGAATATGTTGGGGTTTTTTTCAGCTTTTTTTAACTTATTTTTCTATTTTTTAAAATTCTTTTTAGTTATGCATGGCAGTAGAATGTATTTGGACATATTTATATAAGCATGAAGTACATCTTATTCTGATATTAGGATCCCAGTCTTCTGGTTGTACATGATGTGGAGATTCACTGTGGTGTATTCATTATGTACATAGGAAAGTTATGTCAGATTCATTCCACTGTCTTTCCTATTCCTGTCCCCCCTCCCTTCTCTTTCCCTTTGCCTAATATTTTGAACTTCTATTCTTCCCCCACCCATCCCCACTCCCTTGTTGTGTGTTTGTATCCACATATCAAAGAGAACTTTCAACCTCTAATTTTGGGGGATTGGCTTATTTTATTTAGCATAATAGTCTCCAGATCCATCCATTTACTGGAAAAAGTCATAAACTCGTTCTTTTTTATAACTTAGTAATTTTCCATTGTGTATATATACCACATTTTCTTTATTCATTCATCTGTTGAAGAGCACCTAGGTTAGTTCTATAGCTGAGCTTTTGTGAATTAAGCTGCTATAAATATTGATATGGTTGTGCCACTATACTGTGCTGATTTAAGTCCTTTAGATATATATTGAGGAGTGCAACAGCTGAGTCAAATGGTGGTTCCATTCCAAGTTTTCTGAGGAATCTCCATACTACTTTGCAGAGTAGTTGCATCAATTTGCAATCCCACAGGCAATGTATGATGTACCCTTTTCCCCACATCCTCGCCAACATTTATTGTTACTTGTATTCTTGATTGTTACCATTCTGTCTGGAATGAGAGAAAATACGTTTTAATAACCTATTTTGTGCTAATTTGTAGACTCGGTTTAAAGTGAACTATCCTTTGCATCAACAAATCATAAGAAAAGTGGTGTTTATTTTCATTCAGTTACAGCTGTTCAGGAACAAACATACAAAAGCAATTTCACTGTTTATTACTGTATGCCTGTAGTGTTTATAAACACAACACATAGCCAAACACAGGAAGAAAGAAGTTCTATGTTACACAGAAAGTTCCAATTTACATCTTATAGAGCATTAGAAGGAGCTATTCATGTTGACTCACAGGCTGAGAAAAGCAGTCCACCACTTTATCTCCCAGAATTCTCTCTATACACTGTAGATAACATTTCCTAGTTCCTCACTTTTTATTATTCTTCTACCTGGAATATTCAAACAAATATGATCATATTTCCCCTGCAGAAAATTTGGTCCAATGGAACTGTCTTTGTCATATGGCTTTTATTTTCCCTCTTCTGGGCACACCCTGGTGTGCTGCTGAGACACCCCAGAGCTGCCCTTGCAGATACTCAGATGGCCAAATATCTACACTCCCTCCCCAAAGCAGACAAACATGGAAACATCGGCAGTCTTTCTCAAGAATGCTGTTATGAATATTGTCCTAGGACAAAAATACTTGCTTACTTTATACATGACACTTGAGATTAAGTTCCAGATGGTTCTTGGTAAGTGAGAATATTCTAGAACTGACAAATAGTCCTGAACCAAGCCCCCCTGACAATAGATCATTGTTAATCTGATGTACCACTATATTTGTAAATTATCTGTAATACTTAAAATATTGAATGAAAGTAATCTGACCATCCTCATTTAGAAGCACTGTAGCAGGAGCAGGGAACAGTAGCCCCCAGTGATCAGGAGCTTCTTGGAGGAGTAGAGTTCACAAGTTTGGGGGCCCAAATGGCTGGACTCATACCTCCTTGCCCTCGAGCTCCAGGGATGCTTGGGGTAGGTTACTTCTCTGCTGAGTTTCTGCTTCCATGTCTATAAAACAGGGACTCACAGTTCCTCCTTCACAGGGTGACGGGAGCAATTAAATGAGGAAAGCATTTAGCAGAGTCCCTAGCAAGTACCAGGTACTAAAACATATTAAGTATAGCTCTGTTGCTTAATTTGTAGTTGTTTATAAATAGGTCTTATTTGCTGCTGGGGATGTAGTCGCAAGCCCACACTTCCAGCCATTCATTTGAAAATGCGTTTTTATTGGTGTTCACAGCAGCTTAGTGGAAGCCAGTCCTGAAAATAAAGTCACATGCTCAGAATAGACAGCTGTGTACGCAGGTGAGGAGAGAGGGGTTCTGTTTTGTTCATTGTATGAGCCTTAAACCTTCTAAAAGGATGGCGTAGGGAGTAGGTCGTGAATGCATTTTTGTAAAAGCCATATATTGTTTTATACAGTTCTGATGGGGGAAAAGTGAATCCAAATCAACATGTATTTATTCGCCATAGAATGGGGAGTACTTGGAATCTTTATTTGAAGACATTAAGAATCCACACCCAAATATGTGATGATAATACAACTTTTATTTCTTCAAACACTGTGCTAGTCACAGCTACTTTCCCATTTTACATGTTTACATGAGGAAAACAGAGGCTACCCCAGGCATGGTTAGGTCAGGTTTCAGAGTGCATCTGCTTCCTGCATGCACCTCCCTGGCTGTGCTATGAGTTCTTGCTTCTGGCAGGAACCTGACTACAGGTTGGAATTCTCTTACCCCAAATTCTTGGGATCAGAAGCGATTCGGATTTGGAATTTTTTCAGACCTTGGAATATTTTGAGATATCTTGGAAAAGGGACCTAAATCTAAACATGAAATTTATTTAATGTTTCATATTCACCGTATGCACATAACTTGAAGGTAACTTTAGACATATTTTTAGTGCACCCATATTTTGACTGCGACCCATCATGCGAGGTCGGGTGTGGAATTTTCTACTTGTGGAGTCATGCCTCCACTCAGAGAGTTTCAGATTCTGGAGCATTTCAAGTTTGGGGTTTGAGAACTTGGAATGCTCAGTCCATGCAAGGTTCTGGCACTTCTCATGAGAAGTAATTTCCAAACACATCAGTTTCTTTGCAGGAAGACACCACGGCCCTCTGCCCCCCATGTGGCCACCTTTGAAGAATTGACTCATTCCATCAGCTGTGCCAGGTCCTTTTCCCACCATGGGACCCGAAGGAAGTGTCCTGAGCGGCGGACAGATGCAGATCATTCTCTGCGGAAGTTTGGCAGCTGTTGCCACGTTCTTCCTCATCACCTTCCTGGTCTTTCTATGCTCAAGTTGTGACAGGTGAGAGCCAACATGTATCTAACTGAAATCTCAACCTATTCCCTGGACCCAGAAGAATCTTTACACTAAAAAGCCTCTTATAAATGGAATCTCACTGTAATTGCATTCACACTCATATGTTAAAATCCGCTTACCTCTCTCTGCTGCAAAGGGTTCCAAGAATATTCTATATTAATTGGATGAAAATCCATATTGATTTTGCTGGGAAGAAATGCAAAGAGCTCCTCTTACATTTTAAACTTCTTTTAATAAAATTCTTGCTGTTCTTTTGAGCACATTCTTGTCAATATTTTATTGTCTTTTTCCAGCTGTGGACATTTTGAAATCCAAGCACACTATGCATCTTTTTAACCACTATTTGGAAATTACTAAGGAGTTTTGCTCTCACATGGCTTTGGAGAGGGAGCTTATTATTTAAAATGTGTGCAGTAGATCTTCAAGCTCTGAAGAAGCAGATTAGTTTTCCTAGAAGAGAGAGAGATTTTATGTGGAATACTCATTAGCACCATTTAAAATTTTTTTTTTTAGAATTATACTCCTGTCTCTCTCCTCTCATACAAAATGCCAGTGCCCTCCCCCCCAATAAAAAGAGATCTTTGCTCAAAGATAAGTAAAATTCTTTCTCACCAGGAGTGACTTCTCCAGACATTCAGAAATAGTTACAATGCATGCAAGCCATACTGCTGGGAGCCGGTGAGGACCAGCTTGTCTGGCCCTGGTCATGTCTGTTTTCTCAACCTCAGAAGAAACTTGACTAGTGTCGCTTAAAAGCCTGATATGATGTCCTATGCTAAAATCTGTCAGAAGGGGAAAAGCCAGACTCTCTGACCCCGCATAGCCTTCTAATCCCTACCCATCTTGGACCTGGGCTTCCATGGCTGAGGACTGGTTATCCAGCCAGAAAGATGAAGAAATAGAGGTGACTGGGTACTGGCTCTCCTAGGTTTGAGAGGGCAGCTGCTGCAATTACTCACTCCACCACTAAGTGGCTCTCTTGCCCCGACTGGGATGGGTTTCCTCTTTACAACCGGCAGCTTTCTTTAGACTGTCCTGGGTGAAAACAGTTCTATTTTTATTCGACAGACTTTTCCATAGACTCAAGTACAAATGACTCATCCTGAGAGCATGTACCCTTCCTGGTGTGCCAAAATTTGTATTTTCTTTGCTTTCTCTGTTCCATTGCAGTGTGTGACTTCACAGACTTTGTGAGATAAGATAACCTTCTACATTTTTCTATAGACAAAAATGGCATAACTCATGCCAGTGTTCCAGGTGTAAACAGTTTCCACACTGGACCCAACCTTGGTCCTCTCGTTGTGAATGTGTGTTCTCTACTCCTGGAGAAAGAATGCTTATGAGAAGGGAGCAGACCCTTGCTATGGTGGGGCCTCCTCCTATCCCTGACTCCTACAGATAGCTTCAGTGACTGGCCAGCATTCTCTTAACAAAATAAATAGGGCTCTTAAAGTTGGTAGGAATTAGGATAGGAAAAGGTAGTGTGGGTTTGGTTTCAAGGAGCACTTTTGGCATTCAAGCAACATTTTATTTTTCCATTTCAGAGAAAAGAAGCCAAGACTACACAGTGGAGACCATGAGAACCTGATGAACGTGGTGAGTGTAAGCCTCCGTGTGTGTGTGTGTGTGTGTGTGTGTGTGTGTGTGTTGTGTGCACTTTAAAACAGCAGCCACCTTTCCACCTATCTCACTTACTGATGACCTGAATGGAACTGAGGGGCAGAACTAAGCAGGAGTTAGCTATGACTGCCTGCACTGTACTCTCCTTCTGTAGGTGCCATGTTCGCCATGGCCCGAGGCCTGTGCCTTCGCCAGGTTTGTGGGGAGAGTTTCTGAAATAGATGTGATTGTGCTACTGCCAGAAAGATCCTTAGGTGGCTCCAATCTGCCGCGGGGATGTTTCTGTTTTGCCTCTGCCAGGCTCCAGCCGGTGTTATTAGTCTGCTAGGGCTATCATAAGGACAAACTGGTAGCTTAGGTAACACACTTACTGTGTCTTGGTTCTGGAGGCCAAAAGTCCAAAAATCAAGGTGTTGGCAGGGTTCGTTCCTTCTGAGGTCAGGCCTATTCTAGAATTCTCTCCTCGCTTCTGGTGGTTTCCTGGCGGTCTTCGGTTTGTAGGGGCATCAGTGCAAACTTCCTTCATCTCCACATGGCGTTTTTCCTCTTTCATATCATCTTCCCTCTCTGCATGTCTGTCTGAGTCCAAGTTTTCCCTTTTTATAAAGGCACCAGACATATTGGACTAGGGTCTAGCCTATCCTTGCGTAACCTCATCTTAACCAGTGTCATCTGCACTGTGTTCCCAAAATGGTCATATTCTGAGGTACTGGGGGTTAGGACTTTGACATGAATTGGGGGACGCAGTTCAACAACCCATAACAGCTAATCATTAAGCTCACCCTGGCCTAGGGCCCAGAGACCTAAGGGATAGCGGGGCCTTGCTGCATTCTGCCAGTCCCCAGCCTCTCCTGGGTTCTGATGGGTTCTGAGAGTCTCAGGGATCCACCTGGAGAGGAGAAACCTGAGATTGTCCTAATCTTGCCATGTCCTTTGACAGTGGTTTTTTTTTTTTTTTTAAGTCACTTCCTGTTCTGGATGTCGTTTTTCAAGATGGTTGGGGGAAGAGGGTCCATAAAGGGAAGTATGGATGAGCCAAATACTTAATGTGAGACCTGGGTCAGACTCCCAGCTGGCAGACATATTCAGAGCACACACAGGAGGCACCCCCAGCCCAGGCTGCCTGACTGGATTCTCAGGATTCCTGTGGCCCAAGTAGTCAGGAAGTAGCCAAGGTTCTGGGTTCCTCTAAGGGGGGCTCCAAGGTCTTCCTTACCTTCCCAAACCTTGCCCAACACACCTCTCCTGGCCCTCAGCACTGATCCTCCCTTGACCCTTTTTCTGGGTCACATATCCACGATGTCCCTACTTTTCATCTGTTCCCGGTATCTCTGTTCCATCCCAGTGATTGTCCCAGAGAGAAGGGTGGAGGGATGGAGGGGGCCTGCTGCTGTGGTTTCTCCCATACACACAGCCTGGGCCCCATCTTTCTTCACCCCTCACCCTCTTCAGAGCCAAGTGGGGCTGAAGTGGGACTGGGGGAAGAGCTTCCACTTCTGTCCTCATTTCTTCTAGGACAGGGGTTCTCAAGTGTGGCCTGGTCACCAGTAGCAGCAGCATCACCTAGGAGCTGGTGAGAAGGGCAAATTCTGGGAATTGATGGGCAGCAAGCAAGAGTTCTAGACCTTCAGTTCCTGCTGTTCCACAGCAGCCTTGGGTGAAATAGGAGGAGAGAGGCAACTGAATAAAGGAAAATCTGGCCCTCTGCATTTTCCTCCTCATACACCATCTTCTTAGCTACTGGCCCCTCTTAGCACCTCCTGTATGACTATGTGTGTCTGAGAGCAAGTGTGCACACACAGGAGCATGTGCTGACACTTGCGCACCATGCGCGCGCATACACGCACACACACACACACACACAGGGATCAGACTCACAGTGATTTCACTTCATTTAAATCTAAGTAGCCTGGCTTTAAGAGCTCAGCTCCCAGATCAAATCGTATACATACAACTTGCAGATCCCATAACTCTTAGAAGGATAAGATTAGAAGTGGATTATAGAACTTCAGCTGTGATGGATGATGTGGTTATGGGTCCACCTGGAAGTCTTCCTCTCCCACCCACTCCTGCCCTGTCAGGTCATCATTTCTGGATCATTAGCATCTGTATCTCAAGTCCCTGACAACCCAACACAGTGGCCATCTCGTATGGCAGCAGATGTAAGCAGCATTGAACTGAAACAGAAGACTGCCTGGAAACTTAGGCCTGGGCTATTTGCTGTCTATTATTATTTGATTCCAGCTTTTCACATTAGAACTTTGCATGTGGGATCCTGGAGCCTGAGGTTACCTCTTGGGTCACACAGGCCATGAAAAAAACGAAAAGGATGGGGGGCGGGGGGCAGATCCTGAGTCAGGCTGCTGTCCAGCCCAGTTGGGTATGTAAAGAAGTGCACCAAGAACCGACTTGTTTCTGCCTTCCCTTGGCAATACCTCAGCCTGGCATGTCGTCCCAGGAAGTAGCTACAGATACTAGCCCAGCGGAAAACTGTCAATTTTTTGTCCTTCTCTCCAAGTGTCCTATGTTGGTTTGTGAGAATAGGAAAGGTTTAAAAAGCTATTTTTTTTTAGCACATGATTGCTTTTCTGAACCTTGAAGCCAGAGGCTTGGCTGGTTCTGAAATAGACTCAGAAATCAATGGCATTTTCTGTGTTTGACCAGATCTAAGTCTGTTCTCATCAGATGACAGAGGATGAAGCTTCGTGCTGTTTTTCATAGCATGGCGCACCTGAAAGAACAGCATTTTACAGCACCTGTGATATGAGGATGAGGCGACTCCCTGCTGGAGTCAGTGCTGACCAGCCCCAGGACTTCTGTTCCCCTCCCTGCCTTGAGCTAAGGGGGCTGATATGTCACAACCTAGGTGTAGGCCATTTATAGATCATCATGTAGGGAGCTCTGCCAATGGCCTCCGAAGATTCCCAGTGCCCCTGTGACTCTGGAACCACATTGTCAAGTAGACCCTTTCATAGTGGTGGAGGCATTCTGTGTTAGCACTGTCTGTATCCCCACTAGTGAGCCCTATAATATGACTGTTAACTGAATGCTTGGTTTGATTTGATTTTACTTCATTTAAATCTAAGTAGACGATTCTGTTTTTTGCTTTTGATGTTCTGAGTCTTAGAAAAAGCTGGGAATGTTCTCTGCTGTGCAGTCCATATTCTTAGCAATGTGGATACATTTGTTTTTTGCAGCCTTCGGATAAGGAGATGTTCAGCCATTCAGCGACTAGCCTGACGACAGACGCTCTTGTTAGCAGTGAACAGAATGGGGCACTCACCAACGGTGACAGTAAGTTCTACAGATACTAAAGCTTTAGCTGGGCACATATTACAGACATGGGTGCATGTCTGTAATCCTAGAGGCTCAGGAGGCTGAGGCAGGAGGATCACAAGTTCAAAGCCAGTCTCAGCAACTTAGCAAGGCCCTAAGCAACTTAGTGAGACCCTGTCTCTAAATAAAATACAAAAAAAAAAAAAGGACTAGGAATGTATGTCAGTAGTTAAGCACCCCTAGATCCAATCCCTGGTATTGAGGGGAGAAAAACACCTTCCCACACAGGCCCCATCACCTACGAAAGTACTAGGTCTCAAAAATTGCAGGTCAGAAATTAGGGAATGCGTTCTTGCTCTTTTATTATTTCTGCAAGCTTTAGCAAATAATCTCACTTGGATTAACAGTATCTAATATTTACTAATTGTCTTCTATGTGCCAGATATCGCTCTAAGATGGGTGTGGGCACCAACTCATCACCCTAACCCTGAAATGTTACTCTTAATGATAGGACTATTACTACCACCTTGAAAATGGGTATCATTGCTACCCACCTCTTAAAAGGAGAAAACTGTCCACATTTCTGCTCTAACAAATTACCACAAACTTAGGGCCCCAAACAACACAGATTTATTTGATTAACATGCAGTTCTAGAGGTACTACTTTTCTTGATTCGAGGCCTCACTCCTTCACTAATAAAGACCCTGTAATTCACTGGACCTACTTGGCTAGTCTAGGATTCTCTCCCAGGTCAAGGTCAGCTGAATGGCTGCATTCATTCATCTGTAACCTTTATTACCCTTACGGTATAACATAACATATGCATGGTTTCCAGGGAGGACATGGACCTCCTTGGGGGACTGTTCTTCCAACCACAGAGGTTCATAATTTGCCTAAGGTCATATGGTAATTAGCTGAGGACCCAAATGAACCAGGCAACTGGAATCTTCTATGCACCCAGAACCATTCTGCATAATTTCCATTTGGTGCACTGGATACTTTTGTTGACGAAGGTAGTGACTACATTTGCTTCAGACCATATGGTCTACAGTGCATTGCACCTGAGGGAGGAGGTCATCTCATTATCTCCATTTACTGATAAGGAAACTGAGGCATGATCAGTATTGACACCTGAGTCTCAGACACCAGTGCCCACTCTCTGTCCTCCATGGCACAGATGACAAGACCACAGGGCAGGATGAGTATAGAACACAGGGGGTTATTGTTCAGTTCAAAGGCACAGGAATTTGTGTCATTTCCCACATATCCCTTGAGGATACTATTTCTAACCAGCCCAAAATGGCTGCACAGTCATTGAAGAACTTACTCACTCCAGAGTATTCACTAGAAGGACAGGACTCTGCTTCATGGGCAAATGTATCTCCACCTTCTTGAACCATCCATGGTATGTAGTAGGCCCTGGTAAAATGTCTGATGAAGGGAGAGCTACCTGACTTCACACAGGAACATTTCTGTGACAGTCCAAGAATTTCTCATTTGGAAGTCCTAACTTGAGATAGGGATGTTGGGATAAGGAAGTGACATGGAAGAAAGTTCCTGAAGGAGGCACGAGGTTTCCAAGCCCTCTGTGATATTGGCTTAAGGGTACATTGCTTCTGTTACATCTGCCAAAAGAAAATGACCAGTGAAAGAGCATGGCTACCAACTACTCCCTCCCAATAGGTAGAAGTCAGGAGGGCCAGAGAGAGTGGCCACCACACGCTCCTTTCTTTGGTGTCCAGCTTCCCAGTTTGGCCCCATCAATTATCACTTTCATCCTCTGGTCACATGGGACACTCTGCCTTTAGGAGTCTCATCAGGAATAATATTAAGTAATGAAAGTAACAGTGATCCAGATGGTAGCCAGGAGAATTTATTAAATGTTGTACTGAGAAAGAGAGAATGAATGGATTTCATTTTAAGCTGTGATTGAAAATTAAGAACATAAGAATCCTTATAAGAATATAAGAGTTCAACAATATAAATTTGCAGCTGGGTATCATATATAAAGCAAGTGTCTTGATTCAACCTAAGGTCGTGCATCTGATTCACTGTAATGGTCATTTTGGGAATCGTCTGTCTTGTGATACTTGTGCTCTCTCAGTTCTTTCAGAAGACAGTACCCTGACCTGCATGCAGCCTTACGAGGAAGTTCAGACCTCTGCTTCTGATCTGCTGGACTCCCAGGACAGCACGGGGAAGCCTAAGTGTCACCAGAGTCGGGAGCTGCCCAGGATCCCCCCGGAGAGTGTGGTGGACACAATGCTTACTGACAGGAGCTTGGATGGGGACCAGGGACCTGGCACAGAAGGGCCCTATGAGGTGCTCAAGGACAGTTCCTCCCAGGAAAACATGGTGGAGGACTGCTTGTATGAAACCGTGAAGGAAATCAAGGAGCTGGCAGCAGCAGGACACCCAGACAGAGGCCAGGGTGGCAAGTCAAAGTCTGCTTCCACCTTGAAAGAACTTCCGGGGCCCCAAACGGAGGACAAAGTGGAGTTTGCTGAATATGCATCTGTGGACAGAAACAAAAAGTGTCGCCAGAGTGTTAATGTAGAGAGCATTCTTGGAAATGCATGTGATCCAGAAGAGGAGGCCCCACCACCTGTTCCCGTGAAACTTCTGGATGCAAATGAAAACCTTCAGGAGAAGGAGGAGGGAGAGGCAGAAGAGCAAGCCCCAGAGGGGAGCAGGGAGACCAATAAGGTGGGCTCCAATTCTTTGTTTTGTGGGTCATCCTGGGGTTTTTCTTGCACATGTTCCTGGGAACTATTTCCAAACACTTGCAAGTTCATTAATGAAAAGTATTTTAGTGTCAGCTGTGTTTTCTTTTTTCTCTACTCCAAATAATAAAATTCTGAAAACTCATGTTTATAAATATTTCTCTCCCAGCACCTTACTTGGCTATTTTCCAGTTTTTGCATTGTGTCTAGTTAGGGCCAAGTATTATTTTCTTCATCTTGAAGACTAAGAACTAAATAGGCTACTAGACTCTCCAATGTACATTTTTTACCTCTTCTGCTTACTGCTGTCTTTGGTCGTGGCTTTGACCATTGCAGGACCCCCCCAAATCAAAGCATAGTTACATTTATAGACAGAGCTGACTCTCAGGTGCAGCTGGTTCTATCTGGTTGTATATACTTTTATATAAGTCAAGAGGTCTTATTTTGTGACAGTTTCTAAGCAGTAACCTACAGTTGTAAAATTGAGACCTCAACAAAGCTCTAAAACGCCTTGGTAATCCACAGCCTTCTGTGTGTATCCAACATGATATCTGGAACCTCACATTTCCAGTTGACAGAATTTCCTTGGGATTTAACTAACCCTCGTCTGCTTTAGGCAATTTATACCTAATTTCTGGTCTCCACATGGGAAAAGAAAATAGCAAAGTTCTTTTCTACTTAAGGGAGAAGGACAAATAAGAGTTGGTCAGTCAATTATGGCCTTCAAACACTTCTTGGAGTTCATGGTCAGAGGTGACCCCTGGCTGTGGTTGTATAAGTTACATGAAGCAAGTCATTCTTAAAACTGTTCTCTGGGGCTGGAGTTATAGCTCAGTGATAGAGTGCTTGCCTAGCACATGTGAGACACTGGGCTCAATCCTTGGTACCACATAAAATAAATAAATAAATACACTACAACTAAAAAAAAAAATTTGAAAAACTATTTTCTGAATGTATTCCAACTTTTCATATTATCCATGAAATCAGCTGTGAGATCACCTATGAAAGTGTTCACAAATGTGTTCATAAAATGCAAAAATGCAGCTGGGCAGGGTGGCACACACCAGTTATCCCAGCAGCTCAGGAAGCGGAGGCAGGAGGATCATATGTTCAAAGCCAGCCTCAGCAAAAATGAGACACTAAGCAACTCAGTAAGACCCTGTCTCTAAATAAAATACAAAATAGGGCTGGAGATGTGGCTCAGTGGTTGAGTGCCCCTGAGTTCAATCCCTGGTACCCCACCCCCTCCAAAAAAAAAGACCTGGAATTTGATTATAGAAGGAGAGAATTTGAACAGTGAGTGTTGATCTGCAGAGAGTTGCTAGGAGCAGGGATGGTGGAGAGGCTCTGGATCAGGGCAAGCAAAGGTCTGAGAGTAGGTGGGGAGCTCAGGTGGAGCACACCATCATGTGCTAGGTTTGAGAGGGTCCACATTTGTTGAAATTGTTATGTCTAGGGGTACTGGGTTCATTTTATCCATTCAGCAAAGAATTGAAGAACAGGACAGAGAGATAGCACCAGTAAGCAGCAGATTTACTGCAAAAGCAACAAAGATAGACTTCTCCAAAGAGAAAGGTCCCTGGAGTTGGGAATTGGTGAGGGAGTTTGGGCTTGTTCTTTTTATGGTCTCTGGAATTTCCTCCTTATCTCTTCTCCTGTTTACATATGCCCCCACCCCTATTTTTGATTGGTGCCCTCTCTGTCCACACATCTGTTTTAGTTTTTCTACTGGATCTCCTGCTTAGGTACACCAGTATGGAAGTGTCTGTCTGAGTGGGTCCCCCACTTGTGTCCATGAACACTTTCATCATCCAGGAAGTCGACCTCATTAGAAGACCTTCCTCGTGCTCCTTTGTTCTGGCCCTGCCCCCAACCTCCTCACTCGCCATCTTGCCCTGGCTGCCTAAGCCCTTCTACATCTCCCTCAAAATCAATCACAGAATTAAGACAGGATGTGTGTTAAAATTAGCAAACAGGAACCAGTCATTGAGAAATCAGGAGGGGGAAGGCCACACAATGAAAGTTGAGAGTTCATTTCTTCATTCAGTTGAAGTTTCCAGAATTACTTAAGGATCTTCCTGATGATGTCATCACACTATAGAAATATCAAATTCAGGCATTTGATAAAGAGAGGCCTTTTATTATCAATCTTTCTTTGATGATCAATCCTTTAGTGACAATTAGAACTTGAAATAGTAGTCTAAATATTTATTCCTGGCTTATTTGTAATTACAGTTTGTAATGTTAAATTAACAGTTAGTCTCTATTTGTAATACTACTAGTTATATAAGAATATTACACAATAATTGTGTAAATGTTTATTTCCCAGGTGCTTCACAAAATTTCTTCATAGTTCAATAGAAATAATTTGACATAATTTCTTTGTGGTTCCATAGAAATAATTTGAAAACATTTTTTTTATTGGTTGCTCAAAACATTACAAAGATCTTGACATATCATATTTCATACATTTGATTCAAGTGGGGTATGAATTCTTATTTTTACCACGTGTACAGATTGCAGGATCACATTGGTTTAATAAATCTATGGAAACATATGTAAAGAATGATGGGATTACTGACTTCAATCTATCTTTTTTTGATTTGTGTTTGACAGAGATTTAGCTCATTGTCATACAAGTCTCGGGAAGAAGACCCAACTCTCACAGAAGAGGAGGTAAGTTCGGTTTCTTTTTCAAGTAACCAGAAAGCTCCTGTAATAAAGAATAGAACTTCTTCCCCTGAATGTAATGTTTCCCTTTGTCTGAAGGAGCTCAATGCTCTCTTATGCCTGTATGTGGAGGTCAGAATTGAGGATGGGTGACTGGCAGGTGGTAAGCCAAGCAGGATGACAAGATGAACAGGAAGTCTAAGTAAAATGAAATGAGGCTAAGAAGAATAGGAGAAGAAAGGACATAAGAACAAGATGAGAGGAATTTCAATATGGGAGCTTTACTCAAAAGCCAGGAAGACCACATCAATAGTGGGTTCTCCAATGTGATCTCACCTGGAAGACTGTGTTAGTGAGAAATTTTGGACACCAGAGAGCAGGAAGCTTTAGAAAGTTTAATTCCAGACTGGAACAAGGGTCAGACATAGCAGCCAACAAGAATGAATTTTGTATTTTCAAACACTGCACTGAAAATTTGCTAGCTAGACTTTTAGTGAAGCCTTAAAATTATAAAAGCCAGTATATGTGGTACATGTCAAGATAGGCTCAGACAGAGAGCTAAACATCTTCATGGACCTAGCTGCCTATAGTTTCTAGCTGAAACTTCCAGTATAGTAAATTTTGCACATATACAAGACCGATATGTGTGTGCAGGTATGTACCTAAATAGGACTCTGAGTAAAGGGTTAGTGTGAAGGTAGACTCCCACATTGAAAGTTCAAGGAGCAAAAGTGCTTTCCTTAGGCAATCTTGCCTAATCCCTTGCATGTCCCATCCCCCAGGAACGGTCCTGCCATCTGTCCACCTTCTTGCACAAGCCAAAACCCTAGGGGTCATCCTTGATGTCTCCTTTCCCTGGTGCAGTAAACTGTCAGGTCCCTTCAAGTGTACCTCCAAACGGGTTCATAGACATACCCCATCTGCTGGCTTCCCCAGGAGACTACAGCAATTCCCTCCTTCTGGGTCCTTGGCAGCTCCTTTGCCTCCCTCTGGTCTGTTTTCTGCAGCCAGAGAGACACAATTGGGAAAACAAAGCAAAATATAAAGAAGACCTGGAAGCTCATCCTTGAAAATAAATCATTTCGGAGCTGAGGTTGTGGCTCAGTGGTAGAGCGCTCCCCTAGCATGCATGAGGCACTCGGTTCGATCCTCAGCACCACATAAATGTAAAATAAAGATATTGTGTCTACCTAAAACTTAAAAATAAATATTAAAAAAAGAAAATAAATAAATCTATATAAATTTTTCAAAGTACTTTACTCCTCATATTTGAGATTTGTGAAATAGCACTTTATATTTAATATTTAATAGAGTTATATTGATGAATTTTTAACTTAAAAAACTGTGACTTACAAAATTTCATTTGAGGAAGATTTAGGAAAAAAAAACAATTGTAGAAATTATTTATTTCTGTATGCCTTTAGTGATAACCTAGACTGAAACTAAGGTGTGTGTGCACTTTGAGTCCTGCTGTCTCGATTTAAAAGAGTGAAGAAGAGAGAGTCAATTATAAACAGATGAGAAATGGGTAAAGGAAAAGAGTAATTCATGTAATCCCTAAGACTGTAATAATTTATTGAGTAATAAGGATTAAGGTTTTAAAGAAAAAAATTAAAAGACTAGGTAGCAAGGGGTCTTGAGAAACTGATATATAAACTAGAAATCATAGCCATAGAAGACAAATATTCAAAAAGAATAATCAAAGGCTTGACAAGCTTTTATAAAAATTAAAAGGTGCAGTGACGCCCTGTATGCACTAGGTTTATCCCAGAGTTGCAAGTTCATGGAAGAACTTGCAACTAAAATTTTAAAAAGTAGAAAGGCCAACACCACTGTTACATTTAACTGTAAGGCACTAATAAAAACATATTTTTTAAAAAAGTATAAAGGCCAAAAAGACCCAAGAACTCTTCCTAAGAGAGGAAGATGTTAATGGCAGTGAACTTGGAAGGGGGGAGTTGAGATGGCAGTGAGGGCCACCTGTCATTGTCACTGTCCAGGTAAAGGTGAAAGATATGCTGTTATACCAATTCCCTTTGTCACTTCCATCCACGGCTTATCCCTATATAATCTGTCCCCATTTTTGGCTTTCAGACCACTTTTAGATAATAAATTCCATATGTATACCTAACTATGAAAATTGGTGTTTTTAAAATTCTTCCGAAATTGAAAGAAATTATAATTCTTCTGTTTGAGAGCAATTTCCCCATTAAAAACTAAGGCGAGGGCTGGTGGCGTCCCTCAGTGGTAGAGCACTTGCCTGGCATGTGCGGGGGCCCTGGGTTGGATCCCCAGCACCCCAAAAACAAAAACCTCTAAGATGGGACTCTTCATTTAATATTTCTTAATATAATATAACTCTTCATTAAACAGTCAGATGGGCAAGGCAAGAGTCTTCCAAAGATGATTTCTCTGTCAGGGCCTCACAAAACAGACCCACCAGCCGGTAGTAAAAAGTTCTGATGCAGATGACCAGTTAACAGGCGGCAGGGCTGTCTTCAGAAGCTACTGCAGCCAGCTGGAAAGCTCGCCCACAGTCTGCGAGATGTGGGAGAACAGGAACATGTCCCTGGGCGCTCGGGAAGCCAAGCATCTGTCAGGAAACATGTTTATTTATTTCCAGGGTATTTAAATGAATTAATCACTGTGGTAAAAATAAATACAGGTAATGAAGATTATGTCTTACTGGATGATTTCTAAGAAAAATTTGGGGAGTCATACTCCCCAAATATCTGTGCATCAGTATATTTAATCTATCATGACTGAAGAATTAAATCCTTCTTGATATTATAGGTTTTGTGAAATATATTAGCACTGCCACAGTGTGTTTAGAAAGGGCCTGCCTGCTCTGACTATAGGAAAGAGTATCCCAAAAATGGTCCCCAAATTTCATTTCTGGTTGCAAAAAGAATGAATTTTCCCATTGAAGAAAACTAAGCCTGCTCTGTAAATGTCTCTTTAACCAGTACCATGCAGCTAAGTCAGAGTGTGGTGGAGACCTGAATGCTCACAGGGACACATGTCCCAGAGCCCAACAGCCACTCACACCACCAGAAGCAGGAGGCATGGTCTCCTTCAGTGGTTCTCACACTTTAGTGGGCATCAGATTGTGAGCCCTACCCTGGAGTCTCTGAGTCAGAGGCCTTGAGGTACAGCCTGAAGATCTACCCTTCTGAAAAACTCCAATATGCTGCTGCTGTTGGTTGGAAGTCCACATTTGGAGAATTGTTGGTCTAAAACATGTCTTCTACCTTTTTTGGTAAAGCTGTAGAATGTTTTGGGTAAAATATCATTCTGATATAGAAATCAAATAAAGGAGGGTGTGTGCCAGGTCCTGGGGTGTCCTGAGCTCCCACCATTGCCTGTGCCTTTTAGTCCCCTCAGTAGACTCACGGAACTCAGTTTGCACAGAATTAAGCAAATAAGATTGATCTATTTACAAAGTTTGAAGATAACATCTGTCATTATTCTCTGGTAATGGACTCCAGAATTAGTACAGATAAGTAAAACAAATCTTAAAGACATACACACACTCATGCGTGCATGCACACACACACACAGATGCCCATGAGTGCTAAGTATATAACTTGTCACCCGAGAGGGGAGGAAGAAGTCACATCTTGAAGCCTGTTTATTCAGTTCTCCCTCTGTTTCCTAGATCTCCGCCATGTACTCATCAGTGAATAAGCCTGGACAGTCGGTGCATAAACCAGGACATAAAGCGCTAGAATCTACCTACACCACCATTCAAGGTGCCCCTCAGAGGTCTCCCTCTTCTTGTAATGACCTCTATGCCACCGTTAAAGACTTTGAGAAAACTCCAAACAGCACGCTTCCACCGGCAGGGAGACCCATGGAGGAGCCAGAGCCCGACTATGAAGCAATACAAACTCTAAACAGAGAAGAAGATAAGCCCCCCCTGGAGATTAATGGCCACCCTGGTCTTGTCCCCAAGGAGAACGACTATGAGAGCATTGGGGACTTGCAGCAATGCAGAGATGTCACCAGGCTCTAGCAACCCAGAAGACAACTCCAGAGAGCCTGTGGTTAGTATCTGGGGACAGTTCTGTGGGGATAAGAAGTGACATCAATCTCTGCTATATATGCTGCTTTCGTAAAACTGAAGATGATTGCACATGCCACGACTGTTTCCCCAGTTCCTGAAACTCTGATGTCCAGACCTGGCTGTCCCCAAGTGTGCACCTGCCTGCCCCGGGAGACACCCCAGCACACGCACACCCTCTCACCGTCCACAAAAGATCCCAGCTGTCAGGGTTTATCCCTCTAGTAAGGACAGCCATGCTGTAGGGAAGAACTACACTCAGCAAGAACTGCACTTCCACCTGCCTGAAATACTGCCATTTGGAAGAACCAGGTTTTTCTTCCTGTCTTTTCTTTTCTCTGTCTGCTACCAACCTTAAAAATATATGGCATGTTCCCCTATAAAATCTTCTGATTTATACAGTCCAATCCAAGGAAATTCTCCTACAGGGCTTGGCAATGGTTTTCAACAGAGGCGAGATAGGATGGGGAGAAACTGGTGTTGCTGGTCCCCACCCATCTCACTCGTCCTCTTCCCAGAGCTGCAACTTTCGTCTCTGGGAATCCAAACTATGCATAGGTTTGGGGCAGGAGGTCCCTTGAGTCTCTTAGGTCTTCGTTCCTTTTTATTTTGGTACTGTGCATCAGCAGCCTTTCCCCAAAGTACTTGAAGTCAGTTTTAGATGCTTTGTTTTATTTTTCTAATCAAAACCTTGGGAACTCGTCAGAGCCTTTTCAGTATTTTCAGTGAATATCGTGGTACGTCTATACTCCTGAAGCCCAGAGCTCATTCCTTCCAAACAGAGAGCCTTAATCTTTATGTTGGAACACAGACCACATAAGTGGACGGCAGCGAGGCATCCATACTGGAAGGGCTGTGGACATGGTATTTCCAGTGATCGTCGCCGCCCACACCAACTGTGTAGACTTGCATAAGTTGTCTACACCCTAAGGTAATCTAAGCCTAAAATGTAAACATTTATTTTTATTATATAAATTTATAAGATGTTTTATGTTTAATGCCTAATTTCTAGAAAGTGCCAGAAAAATGTATATTAACTATTTTGATTTTATGTACAATGATTTATACTCTCATTTTGAAAAGACACCACAAAGCACATAAGCTAGATAATGACAAGTAACTGTTTTTTTGTTTGTTTGTTTTTGGTAACAAACATTTAAAACTTTGAAGGTTTTTAAAGACTCAACTTCTCAAATGGTACTTGGAACTCTCCTCATCAATAACCTACAGCAGTTGTGATAGGAATAAATAATCCATTTCAGTGATTGTGGGGGGGCTACTGAAATATTTGAAATGGTGAAAAAGGATGGAAGAATAAAATATGACAAGGAGTTATGAACTTCCTAAAAGTATCATACTTTAATAAAGTTTAATAGCATTTTTAAAGAAAACAGTGATGAATTCTACAGTCCAGGGCTTGCCAGTACAAATTGCCTATTAGAATTTTTTCCTTCATTTGACAAAAATCAGTGGCTGAAAGTAGCTCAGACTAAGAGGTCAGCCTGGTTTGAATTTAATCATCTCTTTAAGTCTTATATGGCCAACATTGGAAAACTTGTTCACTTGTCATTTGAAGTGCCATCAAGTGTAGGCTACAGAAGGGGAACCTTCCTACACTGATTAAAAAAAAAGAAAGAAAGAAAAAGGCCATAATCCTATGCCAATGTGACATCTGTGACTTTAAACATTTAATAATCTTGCTGTTTTCCTTCCTTATGAAGAATGCAATTGGGAAAATGAAGCATCTTGAAAATGTAGAGACCAGCCCGCTGGTATGTGTCCCTCTATTTGTAGATTGGTTTTGTGAAGACTTTGTATTATACTTTTGAAATTGTACAGTGAACTCTGTTGGGGAACACTGGTTGATTGCCATTCATTGTCCGTCCACTAAGTCTCTCCCATGAAGAAGTCAAGTGCATGAACACAATTATTGTTGATTAGAAAACAAGGGTGGAATAACCTTGAATCTCTTGAGAGAAGTTTATCAGGAAAGTTCAAGGCACTTCTCTGTATTCAGACCTTTCATAAGCTCTGCTCTGCCTGCTGATTTTCACTGCTTTGTATGAATGAGTTTGACCCAGCAATCTCAGGTCACAGGTTCTCTTAGTAAATGGGAACAGCCGCCTGCACACAGCACGCTGCTGTACCCTCCTCTGTGGGCACCTTCCAGGTCAAACTTTTCATTGCATTTCATAATATCTGACTTATAGCCAGGGAAATAGGTATGATCTCTATTAAAGTGTAGAATACTTTCTTTAGAGACAAGTTCATCATTAATGATCACGTCATAGTAAAATTTCATTATCAGAATTTCCTCCAGAAGAGTTCAAATATAGGTTATGCAATATAGTCATAAAATATGCACTGAAATAACTCTCTTAATTTGAGAACAAGTGGTGAGAATACGTTGTGATAGAAAATATTCTAAGTGTACTTTAAAAAGAACTCTAAAGCCCTCCTGCAAAAATTCTAGAAGAATATATGATAGCACAGTCCATCAGGATGGGGGAGGGAGATGCAGAGTGAACTCTAGGAAGACAGCTTGGCTCTTCAGAGCACCGGGTGTTTTATTGAAGTGTATTTATTGATGTCTCACCTTTGTTTGGACTTTATTGTGCAGTTTTTCATAAATTTCATGTCTTTGTTCAAAATCTGTACTCCAGTCTTAAAGTTAGAAGCCTGTGGCTTCTTTTTAAAAGTTTGATCTTGATCTTAATGCTACAGAGTTTAAATGTATGAAAGGTGATTGTCAAAAACAATTCACTGTATATTTAAAATTCACCACTGACATCTACAGTATGCATCTAGTTATAATAACCTAGGTTATGTGAAATTATATAAAAAGATAATAAGATTAATAAAAATTTTGTGCTATAAATCAGAATTATAAATCTACCTTGGTTGAGAAATCTTTGTTCAGATATTTTTAAAGTTTAGGAGCATTTTTGTGCTGCTTTTAGTATTTCCCAAGTATAGTTAGCAGAAAGTTAATGTGTTATATGTGAAATGTTTAAGGAATTCTAGAAGAGAGTAGTTTTTGAAAATGTATTTGCTACATATTTTTTTTCTCCTCCTGATCTAAATTACATCATTAAGTCAGTTAAAGCTTTTAAAGATACCAGTATTCTTTGTGGGGGGAAAAGGTTAATCACTGATTTATCCACCATCAAAATCCCAGAGTTAATTCTAATTGAGTTCTAAGTTAACAATAGGTAGTCAAAGTATGAAAATTTAATCTTAGTATGTCACTATATCTATTTCTTTTATTCAGTTTTCAAATTAGAACGTTACTTACCTTAAATTACTTACCTTAACTTGGAATAAACTACACACACACACACACACACACACACACACACACACGTATGTATTGTTGCTCTGCACAGCTCTGGTGCTTGATTAATTAAGTATTTATCATATGACTATGATGAACTCTTGGTCATAAAAAACAGGATTACAAGAAACAGTCCTCCAATAGTTTGCATTTGGTAATTAAGAGAAAACCTTCTAGAGTGCACCTCATTTAATTTCTCTAATGAATACATTCAGATTTTAAATTATGTCTATAATTCTCTTGGCTGAAAAACAGTGGTATTTTAAGATTTCATTAGACATGTTCTGTCTGAGAGGAAGAAATGTACATAGGTGTGCTTCTCAGATAAGTGTGTGAGAAGAGATTTGGTCAAAAGCATCAAGTGAATGACCCTGAGCCAGGATGGAGCCCAGGCCAGGTGACTCCCAGTGTCCCAGTACCAGTGACTGGTTACCTGGTGGTGGTGATCTGTTTTGTTTTAAAACCCAGAGGTTTTTATAGCAGAATCAACATCAATGTGATATGATATGCAAAACAGCCCTGAGAGGACACCATGGCTAAGATTACAAAGCTCCAGCTCAAGAGTGAATTAGAATTGTGTAAATGAGTGACATTTTTTCAACATTCCTTGTAATAGTTAAGTCTGTGTACTCTTGTGATGCTGTTCTTCTAAAAGTATTGATTTCAGGTACCCAGCCAAGCTTTGTCTGCTGGAAGCACAGTAGATACTGATGGTTATTTCCTGGAAATCTTGACAGGCTTATTGTACTGTGTTCACTGGGAAAAGTTAAAGTGTAATGTTTGGTGTTGAGAAGTGACTGATGTGAAAATAGGAACATGTGTCTATAATATCAAATATGGCTTTATTTGCAGTGGAGTCTAACTTCCTTATCTTGTAGTAGCATTTCCTTGCTCTGTGTTATAACTTTTTTTAAAATCCATTATTCCTTGCAGTGGCATTAGACAAGTTGAACACACCAAGACTGAAAGTGTTCAACTTAAGAGATCAATCCAGGAGCCCGGATGAGTTAGAATTTTTATCTGGAATTTGCATGTGAAATTTTAAAATCATAGTCCAGAAGAGAACAAACATTATGTAATGGTGTTGTTTTTAATCCCTTTGCTCATTTTTAAGTCTTGATCACATCTAATTTCTAGTATTTCTGAAATATTTCATTTATTTTCATGTTCTTTAATGAAAAATTATAGTTCAAATTCCTCAACATGTCAGACTTTTGAAATGAGAAAAATGTTGTTGTTTGTTTAAAGATTGTTTTTAAAAATCTGATTTGGAATTCATTTATCTTAAAGCAGAAAGATTTTTCTTTGCTTGCCACTTACATACGATGGGTAATTTTCAAAAAAGTATTGTGCTACGGTTGTTTTGTATCACCTATGTAATGTATTGTAAAGGTGGGTGATTATCATTCCTCAGATTTCTGTATGTTAAATTATCAACAGTAAAATGTTTTAATGTTGTTATCTTTTAGATACTTGTGTTATGTTAACATGTCTCATGTTTTCTGGAGGAGATTGAAATATAGCCCCCTGCCCAAATCTGTTATTTGTAAATAAGAATTATCATTTCATTGTTCATGCATTTTTTTTCCTCATAAAAATGGTTACCCCAAAAGTGACATACTATCTAAAGGGTGGACCTGATCAGTTGAGAATACTCCCCCTTACTCAAAAAATAGTAAAATATAATTTCTGAAACTTAACAGAAGTTTTACGCATTGTCTCAAAAGGTCTTTGTAATGGTCAAATTATCCAATTCATAAAACCATGGGGAAGTTGCTTTTAATACTTAAGTGAGAATTTTTAAACCTTAGTTGTAAGTGCAAAAATGTCTTTTAGATATTGAGTCTCCCTCACTCCTTTGAAGAAGGGAGTCTAAAGAACGGGGTCATGAGGTTAATATTTCTTCCTGCCTTATTTTGGCTTGTCCTGCACAGATTCTGTCACTTTCCTTTGAATACCACCACACCTGGGGTTTTTTTCCCCACCCAGACCTCTCCGCCTGCTACTTAAAGGACATCCACTAACATTTTTCAAATCACAATCCCCCATTATCTCAGACCCTGCCAGCCAGCCCAGAACCATTCTCCAAAACTGCTGGTGACCAGACAGTTCTGCCCAAGTCAGATTTCCCTGCTTCACAGGGTACCAAGACCATAGATCATCCTAGGGAAGCAGGTGTTGGTGTTTTTTGTCACAAGTGTTGCTAAACCATACACGCTCCTGCCCACCTCTTTCATGAGCATAATTGACATTAAGAAAAGAACTTTTGGGGGCTGGGGCTGTAGCTCAGTGGCAGAATGCTTGCCTAGCATGTATAAGGCACTGAGTTTGTTTCTTAGCATCATATAAATATAAACAAAATAAAGGCATGCTGTTCATCTACAACTAAAAAAAAAATTCAAAAAAAAACAGAACTTTTTAAAATGGTGAGGAAGAATCAAACTCACAAGTTCAGAAATATTAGCACCATACTGTCACCAAATAACAAGTAAGCTTGCTTTCCCCCACAGTGTTCCAAGGCTGGCGTGTGTCCCCACATGTCCCAGGGAAGGAGTAGCCTCACTGAGCATCCTGTTGAAGGTAGCCCTCTATCAGCTGCACAGCAATTATTGTCAGTAAAGTAGGAGAAAGCTGGTTAATCCAATGGGAAAATTATTAATAATTTTTAATCACTTGTATTAATCATAATTATTTTTAATCATAATTATTAATCACTTTACAAATAAATTGAATGTAAAATGTCTTAGCCATCCAACTCTTATACTCTCTTCCCTTGGGAAATGGTGCTTATGAGCTATGTTAGTTAAAAACTAGTTTGTGCTACTCTCCCAGGTCTCAAGAAAACTGACAATGTTCAAGCATCTAAATACAAAGTTATCAGATATTGAGAATAACTGTATCTAAATACAAAGTTATCATTTATAGGCAAAGGTTTGATTTATGGAATGCAATACTATTTTAACTACTGGCACAGGTGAATGGGTGATAAAGCAGTCTAGATTCTCATTTTCTACATATTTAAGGCACCAAGATGTGTCTAGTTTTGATTTTTAAACTTCCTTGTAGTTCATCATAGTTATTTGAATATTCTAGAGTATAACTTTTTCAAAATTAAAAGTATACATATCTGTTTTTTGTTGCTGTTGTTTGTTTGTTTGTTTTGTTTCGTTTTGTTTTAAAAGTTCACCCTGAATGGTGAACTAAAGCTAGAAGACAGACTAGTCTTGGTGCTTGGAGCCTACAGTTCAGAATTGCCTTGTAATGTCCTGGTTTGATTTTGTTTAGTTTCCTTTTTAACTCAACAACTTGGAAACAATGAGTTTAAAAGGCACTATTTTCAACCAAGTACAGTGGCACACACCTGTAATCCCAGCTATTTGGGAGGCTGAGGCAGGAGGATTGCAAGTTCAAGGACAGCCTCAGAAATTTAGCAAGACCCTGCCTCAAAATAAAAAATAAAAAGGGCTGGGAATGTGACTCAATGGTAAAACACCCCTGGGTTCAATCCCTGGACTAAAACATAAACACACACTCTCCCTACTCCCACTCTCTCTATATTTCCCTTTCCCTTCTTAAGCTGAAAGAGAATTTTTTTTTTCTTTTTTTAGTCTTTATCTCCCATTTAGAGAGTAAAGGCTTCCTGAATGACAGCAGTGTCCTTCCCTCAGTGAAGCTGCTAAAACCAAAAGCTGGAGTCTACTATTTGCAAACGATTTTGAGATGAGAACATTGCTTTGACAGGCTTCCATGCATTTTTCCATGTAAAACTCATAGAAGAACCTGATGTGACACTGGCCACCGATCCCTTAGCTCGCTTGCTTTTTTAAAATTTATTTTCCACATCTAGGCTTCTCTGGTGTTTTTTGTTGTTGTTGTTTTGGAACCACCAGAACCTTAATTTCTCTGTGCTGCTCCACAGCTGCCCACAGATGTCCCAGAGGGGGTCAGTACCTTTAGCAGGGCTTGCCTCTTAGGAGAAGCAATTCACCTGTGCCAGTAGTTAATCAAAGAAAACTGAATATTAGGTTCAAGTCAACAACTTGTAACCTGAGAGCATACTCTATTCCTTAGATTTTGACACTTATTTAAAAATTTTTTTTTCTTCCTTTGAGTATAGACTATATATATATTTGACTCGGAGAGGGGTAAGGGATTAATAGTAAAATTTGAACCAAGTGACCTGGGTGACTTACTGCCTTTGTGTTTCTCATCTGTATGTCTGTCTGGAAAATGTATGTTACTAACTCCCTCTCTACCACCTGGAGTCTTTTAAGGAGTGAACAGAAAATATGTATCCATGATAAAACTATTTAGACGTTTTCTTCTTTTTTTAAAACTCAGGAATAAACCTGGTTTGCAGATAACATAATATGGCCACAAAAACTAAAATTTGGATGTGACTAAGAGGATTCTTTCAAATTATCTTCTGTGTTCCAACTAGGAAGAGAAACTCCTTGAATGAATGAAAAAAGCAAAACGAAAACTTCCCTAAGCTCTTTCTAGAAGAGTGTAACATCAATTTGCCATCCATCCCAGAATGGTTCTTGCCTTTAATATTTCAACAATTTTTATGAGTGAAAAAAATGCACTTTTTTTATTTCTTGGAAAAGTGAATTGAGGTGTTGAATTAGATGCTCTAATGGAACAATTTAGTTGAAACAATAACATTGGTTTTGGAGACAAGAGCACAGGGCTATGGTACCTGTTCCAGCATTGACTTTACTGTGTGACCTCAAAGAAATGATTTAACTTCTCTGTGCCTCAGTTTCTCCATATACAAAATGGGGATAATGATATCAACCATTGCCTACCTCATAGGGATGTTTTGGGGACAAATGAGATAATATAGATAAGTATGAATGCTTTGACCTCTTTGGAAGAAAGGTGCTATATAAATTGAAGCTGTATTGTTTTTAATGATACAATGATTAATTATGTTAGAGTTTAGATAATAGCAATACTGTTAGTCATGTTAAGAATCTCTTTCAATTTGATGCATATTTCCAATTCTCTTCTGTGGCTAGATCTTGATTATTCATTCAGTAATGGTACCTAAAGAACTGAAGTGGGTATTTGTTTTCTGTGTTCCTGCTGGTAGTACTTCAATTCTGAATATTCAGAAAAGGCTGGAGTGTAGCTTGTAATATCTTATAGTTTACATGTAATGAACCTTATTCAAGCTGTATATAAAAAGTATAATTACATGTAAATAGCAGGTACACTGTAATTAAAGGCACTTATCAAATTGTCTTTGTTCTTTTTTAATTATAATAAAGGTCAGTTTTATATAAAAGCTTGTTAAAATTCATTTGGTATTTGGAAAGGTCAAGAAGAGCTGATTCGTATACTCTTAGTACATAGCCAGGATTGGGGACTCCCTCAGTCAGCTCACCACCCTGACAGGAAGGGGAATATGAGTAAATCTCAGACCAAAGTGAGTAGCAATTAGGGTCAAAATCTGCAGAAAAGAACCTGCAGATTTGCATCCCAGTTCCTAGGTGACTGTGGGCTTATAGCATAGAACTGACTAAAGGGTTACCTGGGGGACTAAGGTCTTCAGCATGGTACCCAGAAAATGCTAAATGCTCTTAAATACTAGCAAGACCAACTTACACAACAACCCTGGGAAATTTTGGGTGGTGTCTGTCTACACTTGACAGGTACTTCTAGGAAAGTGAGCAAGCAGTGCCCAGGTCTTGAGAACCCATCTGCAAATCCACTGAAGGGACCAAGTAACTCCAGGAGAAGGTCTCAGAGCAAATGGCTTTACTTAGAATTTAACCTTGGCCACTCTCTCCTGATGAAGACTGACCTTGAGGACTGGGGTTGTAGCTCTGGGGTGGAGCACTTGCCTGGCATGTGTGTGGCACTGGGTTCAATCCTCAACATCACATAAAAATAGATAAATAAAGATATTGTGTCCATCTACAACTAATATGTGGGTGGGGGAGACTGGTCTTGGAGCCAAAAGGTGTAACAGTGAGGGTTTTCTTTTGTGTTCTGTCTCCTTTTAATCTGTGCCCCTGAACTCGAGATGCCCCAAGCCCTGTATTCTGTATTCCCTCAGATAAGACCAACCCACAGCTGAGCCTCCCTTTCTGAGCCTATTCCTTGCTCTTTCCTTCTGTCCCATCCCATCTGCACCAGGATACTAACCTCATGGCCCTATTTCTCCAGGGACTCACATGCTCATTTCTAACCAGCTAACTCCTCTCTCCTATGGAGTGGGTAAATATCCCCCCTACTCTTAGGACCATTCACAGTTTAAGGAGCTTGCTCTTGGGGCTCTTGAACAGAACCATCCTTCACTCTAATGATGGGCGTTGCAAGCCCAAGAGAGGCTGCAGGAAGTATACAGGGTGGAAGAGGCAGAACAGGGAGCCATGGCTTCCCCAGACTATATAGGCCATCTCACCTGGGGCCTGCTGAGCCCTCGGAGGCCATGTTTGCCCCTTTCCCGTGTCAAAGGACTTAGCTTCCCTTGCATTTGCTGTAAAGCATTAATGGCAGCCTGGAGGCAAATGTAGGGAAATTCCTGATCATCTTGGTTTCCAACCCTGGATTCATTTCTAACCATGTGGGAGAACTGCCTCTCCTTTCTAAGACCCATTAGTCTCAATGCCATTCCATATGTGAAACCTTGGAGCTAAGAAAAGCTTGTTCTGAGTCTTTGGGAGACAGAACCAGTCATTGCACCTGG